CCAAATGAGGGGAGGCAGTAGGAGGTCATAGAAAGGGTCAGAAATTATAATAGCTTTAGACTTCTCAACAACAAAGTTGGAAGCAAGAAGTCAGTGGAGCAACCCTTTAATATATCGAGAGGAAATTATTTACAATTAAGAAATAGATATTTTTGGACCAAGGCTTTGGAAAATTAGTATCTCATGCTCTCATGGATGCTGTTCCGTTGAGAATATGCCCCTGGTAAAACGAGAGCTAAACTAACAAGGAAGAAGCAACAAGATAAAGGAACAAGAGTCCTAACTCCAAGGTGGTGTTTGGAAGAGAGCCAGTTGGGGACCAGGTTAAAACTATTCAGTCTGGAACAGGTCAGAAAGAGATGTTGCCAGTGATAGGGAAGGAATAAAAGTGCTGGAGATTCCTCAAAAAACTACAAATAGAAATTCTTTTGACCCAGTATTTCCCTTTTAGATATCTGCCCGGAAGAGTTACAGTCATCATACATCATCATGTATTGTGATGTACATGTATCATCGGATCATCAGTGATACATTCATGCCCATGTTTATAGCAGCACAATAGCTAAATGTAATAACTAAATCTTGGAAACAACCTGTGTGCCCATCAGTAGATGCATAGATAAAGAAAATGTGGTATTTATACACAGTGGAGTACTACTCTGCCACAATGAAGGATAAACTTAAGTCATTTGTAGGTAAATGGATGAACCTTAAAACCATAATGTTAAGTAAAATAAATCAGACACACAAGATGAAATACTGCATGGTTTCTCTTATGCGAGAAACCTAACATATAAATAAAGAGCAAAATAGGAGATAGATAAAAGGAAGCAGGAAGATAGTTTTGAAATGGGAAGGGGATCAAGAGATGGAGGGGGTGGGGGAAAGAAGGGAAAAGAATTTGAAAAGGAATGTCAAATAAAAAGTGGAAATAGAGCTTTTGCAAATGGGAAGAAGAAAAAGTGTTGGAGGGAGCAGGGAGGCATGGGATGGGAAGAGAACAAAAAATAATTAAGATGTTCAGGCACTGTATCGACTCCCCACGATACATGTAATCATTGTGTACTGCAAACGTGGACTAGAAAAATAATAATAAAAGGGAACTTGAGAGGAAGCTGAGATACTTGAAGAAAAATTTGCAGATATGTTATTAAGTCGGTGCATAAATAAACAAAAAAGTGTGATAGTTGTTAACTCCAGGTAAAACCAACACATTTCTCGATAAGAATAGGAAAGTTGTTTAGATTAATGTAGGGCTCAGCATTTTCATGAATATGAAATTCTAATAAGACTCAAATCTATCTAAAAAGTATGAAATGATACTGGAAGGCCAGTCGGGTTCAGAGAGAGAGAGGAAAAATACTGAATCTTCATCTTCTATCAAGGAAAATTCATTGATTATTCTTAAAACAGAAATATCAAAAGTAACCATATAAGCTGTTTTATATCATGGTAACTGTGAACAAATAAAAAAAAGTAGTAAAATTGAAAATCGCCACTTCTAGAAAGGGGGAAATCTTACATGTGTTGGGGAAAGGTATCCTGTTAATATTTCTAACATGTAAACGAATCGCAGACATTTAACAATTTGATGAAATAACCAAATTGAAAAAAAAAGAGAGCAGAATGAAAGAGCAGCAACAACAAAAACCGCATATGATGTTCAGTCAGAATTTATGGATTTCTAGGTAGCTGCCCGCGCCTCTGTGGAAAGCTCGGAATGAACAGTATTATCCTCGTCCCAATATTTCGCCATTACTGTCTGTAGTGGTGTGGATTCTATGAATCAGAGACCCGCTTGAGTCCCGTGTGGTTCATGGGATTGGAATGTGATTAGGGGGGCGTCGTTGGGCAAGTTTCTTCTTGTGGAAAGTCATGTTAATTTTAGTATATGATATGAATAATCATGTGAATAATTAAAATAATAGTGCGCTGCTTTGAAGATTAACTGTGATACTGCACAGGATGCACTGAGCGCATTGGGCTGGCATTCAAGAAACATTAAAAAATTATGGGAATGGGGATAGAATGGTCAGTGCAAAGATTACAGGAAACCAGGTGAACCAGGGGAAAACCAGGAAGGGGAATCCACATTTGCCGTGCTCTATTTAACATTTCATTTTCTCACATCTGACTGCAATAAAGAATATGCTTGAGTGAGGTTATATGCTGTGGTGATTAGCTGACAGCTGTCTCTAAATGTAATTCAGCGTGTTTCAGCTTCCGGGGAAGCAGAGTCGGTTATGTGAAGAGGGTGGAGTATTGTTACTGACGTTTGGCAGCCTCAGCGCGCTGCGTGAAGAGGTTCAGTGGGTGGCCCTTGTGCCCAGGCCTGGAGCAGAAACGTGGGGGAGACCCTGGCTCTGCTCCGAAGGCGAAGGCGTCAGTCAGGTCTCCTGCAAATCACATTATTTCACTTCAGTTCAGCTCAGTTCCATTCAATTCAGTTTAGTTCAGCTCATTTCATGCTTCAGCCAGTTGTAGAATGAAAAGTGAATCCTAAAATAGCAGCACAAATTATCAGCAGATTCTGATCTTAGATGCCTGTAGTTTGAGAGGCAAACAAAAGTCTGCTAATCAACCTGAATTGTCTCCTTGCTTGTCTGATTGTAAAAAAGAAGTTATACAACAATTAAAGGGGTGAGGTGTACCACTTATACCATCATAAAAGATATAATTATAAATGAACAATAACCATTATTTTATAAATGTGATCAAGAATTCTCAGAAAAAGATACACTGTACAAAAAAGAAATCTCCAAGAGAGGATCATACATTCACCATGTGAGTTCTTTATTTTTTCTTTCTATTTATTTTCATTCTTACATCTGTGTGTTTTCTCTTTTCTAACTTATTTGTGATTTTTGAGACTTCATTGTAGTAGTACAATTATAACAAATATATTTATATATTGTTAATAAAATAATTGAATAACCAACATTAAAGTAGAAAGCTATATGTCTTAATATGTGCTTTCAGTTTAACCTTACATTTAAGGAATGTCACTGCACTGCAGAAATAATTACCTATGTGTATATAATGTGTGTGTGTGTGTGTGTGTGTGTGTGTGTATAAAGTCAGATTTGTGACCTTCAATTCTTTTTTTGGGGTACCGGGGCTCGAACTTGGGTCCTTGCACTTGCAAGGCAGGCGGCAGAACCACTGAGCTAAATCCCCAGCCCTTGAACTTCAATTCTTAAGAGACAAAGACAATGCTGACAGGGAAGCCCAGATGGATTATTTGTCTGGTGCAACACTCAAGCAACTGGAGACACAGAATCCCTGCAAAGAGATCTTCAAGGGGGTCTCAAATATGCACATTACTACTGAGTTAGACAGTAGTACTACTTAGTCCATGACAAGGAGGGTCTTACCAATTCTCGGTAAAGCTCCATCTTGTGAATCTGAAAAGTTAGTCATGTGTCACTAGGGCCAAACCCAAAGTCTGACAAAGTATTTATAGATCAATGGCTTGTGGGAGAGCCCTTCGGAAGGGCCGGGAGTGCCGGCTGGCAGGAGAAGAGCTCTCCAAAGGTTTGGGTTCACGCTGATGACCTCTCCCGGTGGAAGCCAGGCGAGACTGTTCTGGATTATCTGCTGTTCCCGAGGTTGGATTAGGATAAGGAAGAGTGGGAATTCTGTGCCATCCCGAGGTGAGAGTGGCTAGAAACTGCACATTCCCAGGAAGTGATGAGTTACAGGGAAGGCTGTCCGTGTGCGCCGCCAATAACAAAGCAGTCTTTCACTCAGGAAGAAGAGTGTTAGGCCTTTGGATAGCTGCTGTGTGACCCTGAGAAATGGGGTTTCCTGCTGGTTGCACAGCTAACTTGATGATCTGTCCTCTCTGGCTATTTAACAATGGGATCCTTATTTCTTTTTCAGTTTGAGTGGATTTTCTTTCCACTCTGGACAAGTTTTTTCTCTTCTCCCTATTATATATATGTAGATTTTACATGTACATGTAAGCATGCATCCACAAAGAAGTAGATAAGTTTATATATAATTTACACATATGCATGCAAGTTCTTGGACCAGAATCCAATTGATTTATTCATTTACTCAGGCATTCAAATTCAGGTGACAGGGCATTCTACCTGTAAGGTGAAGAGACGCAGTGATTTGGAACTGAAAATGGAGCTCCTAACCCATTGGACCCACGTTAAACATTCCGGGGAAGGCTTTATGCAACTTTTCCCAAAGCCCCAGCGATACTGTGGACAATGATTCTAGGTTTACTTGGGAGGAATTAGCAGCTGTTGGTGGAAGAAACAAAACAAAGAACCTATCTATTGCACAGGTGTTGTCCACACACCGAAGCCTGAATCTGCATCCTCTCCCTCCCTGACACATCGAAAGATCGTGTGGCGTGATAGAGGGGTGGCAATTATTTCCCTGTCATTAGATGGAAATCCTGGTGATGGATGAAGAACCTCAGCTGGCAATTTGTACATTGTGTGATCAATGTTTCTCTGGAAATAAATGTCTTGTTTTGTCAAAATCCCATTATTCTGATTTATTTGGCTAACTTTTATGTTGTCAGAGAAGTTCTATGATAGAGTGGGATGAATTCTGTTTTATGACTTATTTAGATTCAAAAATTAAGGTGCTGCAAAAGCCACCTGGCAGGAAAATGTTTATGCTTCTTCAGTTTGTCTGTACTTTTACAAGTGTTTGGGGCCTGGATGTTTTACTTACGTCTTTTCTGAAAGACAACTACAGAAAACGCTCCATCATCATCATCATCATCATCATCATCATCATCATCATCTTTTTAATTACAACCAAGTTTCTATGACAATTGACATTCTGTCAGGTATTATAGGTTACAAATTAAAAGGATAGAGCTCTTACCTTCTGGGATATAGAATATAGAAAGATCATGATCAAGTAGATCTTAAAATTATAACTAAATAAATATATACAAAGATCAAATAGTATTTATTTGGCATAAAAATATTGCAAAATTAAGGGAAAAGTGGAGGCTTACAAATATTGGCTTCTAAGGCTATGATTTACTTTTCAACATTGAAGATTGACTCTGTAGTCCTTCCCTTATCATCTTTGCTCCGTGTTTTAGTTATTTTCTTGTTGCTGGGATAAAATATCCAAGATCTACAAGTTAAAAGAGGAAAGGTTTACTTGGGTTCCCGATTCGTAGCACTTCAGTCCCTGGTTGGCTGACTCCGAAGCAGGGTGTCATGGTGGACAGGCATTGCGGAGGAGAAAAAGCCCATGGCAGGGTGAGCAGGGAGCAGTGAGGCTTCCTTCTTCTTTCTTTTTTTATTCTGTCCAGGCTGCAAGCCTGTTGGTGGTGCCACCGCCATTCAGAGTGGAGCTTCTCTTTTCAGTAAATCCATCACCCACACCAAGGACTATGCTAAACAAATCAGTGGACTAATCCAGTATCACACACCCATGATCCAGTCACTCCCCAAAACTCCACCTGAGTGCTTGAGACTTTCAGAAGACATCTGGATATGAGTCGTAGCACTCTGTTTGGATTGTTTATCTTTAAGGTTTTTTTTTTTTAGCTTTAATTCTCCTGAGCATAACTAGGCACAGCAATTATTCTTAGCCTCTCTTTTAGAATGATGGTAACCTCAGAATGGTGGTAATGTATTTTGAAATTAATTTCTGCATCAATTAACAAACCTACAACATTTGTAGTTATATGAGTATTTGTAGTTATATATGAATGTGTTATAGTTTATGAATTAATGTGAAATACACATTATGGGGATTGTACACATCCCATTTTTTAGTTTCTGAGGTTCATAAAGAGCTAGTTTTACACATGAATTGATTCAAACCAGGCATCTAAGCTGCATAACCTGAACTGTTTGGTCCAAATTTGCCCGTGGATGCATATAAAACAAAATGTTGAGGTATGAAATCAAAGTGAGAGTTTCTGTCATTCCAGTGATATGACATTTCTGATTCATGTAAAGATGGATTTATTTAGATGTACATAACTGGACTTCCCACTCTTTCCAAGTCAAGATTGCCTGGAAATAATCCCAAAATGCGTTTCCCTCCAAGTGAATGGCTATTGGATATTAGCTACAAAGGTGACTATAAAATTATTTCAATATCCAAAAAGTAAATACAATTATGTTACTTCCATGGTGTTATTTACAACCATTATTCTAACATGCAAATGATATGTGCTTCTGACCTATTCAAAGTAACATTTCTCAATATAAAACAATACATCTTATAATAAATTTTAAAAAGTGAGGGCTGGGGCTTTAGCTCAGTGGTTCTGCCATCGGCCTCGCAAGTGCAAGGACCTGAGTTTGATCCCCAGTACCAAAAAAAAAAATTTTTTTTTATATATGTATCATTTAGAGAATATACATTTCCACTGGCCTTTTAAAACCATTACCGATTATTTGAGATATATACCTCTATCTACAGCATCTTTAAAAAAAAATTCTTCCTATTGTGTGTTTAGGTGATAATTCTATTTGCTTTCTCTTTTAGGACATATGTTACATAACTTTGAAGATATGAGGGTGGGGTGTGGGAGGGCCACACCAGATAAACAAAGAGGCTAAAATGAAAATGAAAACCCTCTAATTTTTAGAGAAATGTTTGAGCTGGTTTAGTAAATGCTTCTCTTTTCATTGGTGTTTTTGTTTTGTCTTGTTTTGCTTTTGAACAAGATCTTACTATGTAGTTCAGGTTGGCCCTGAACTCAAGGTGATCCTCCTGCCTCAGCCTTCTGAGTGCTGGGATTACAAGAGTGTACTACCATGCCCAATTATGGTTATTAATATTTACATTTTTTAACACTGTGATTTCATTTTATTTGGCTAATGCTTCAAATTTTCCCTATCATCTTCTTTCCCTGATCTCAGAAAACTGGTTTTAACTCTCAGGGAAGAGGTAGGGTGGAGAACTCCCCTACCCTATCCTTACAGTGCTATAGAAATCCTGCATAATTCAGCACTGCCTTTTAGCAACATGTCTAATTCCACATTTATAGTGTTGATAAAATGGAAGATGGTACAGCACCGCCTGTTGCTGTAACTCATAGACAAAACCCATAAACAAAAAGTAGTTGTTAAAACTTGGAGAAGACGTTACATAGTTACTGACAGTGGAATTTCTGGAATTCTGGATCCAGCTGCAGTTCAATGAACTCAGGTCTGTCGGTCACTTGGATTATCCCTAATACCAGTGAGAGAAAATAACACAGAAGAAAATCATTTTCAGTGTGAATACGGCACTAACAAAGGATTTAGGAATTTTGAAGAGCATTTGGTGAGATTAAAAGCCCTTTTTCTCTCTGTGTTTCTCTTCCTGTCTCCCTCTTCCCTGTTTCCCTCCCTCCAGCATATATATGTATATGTATATGGGTACACACACGTACACATAATGAATGAAAAGAAAGGTTAAACTATTCTATCGTTATGTAAGACAGTAAATGGTAAAATATAGGAGAATTGGCTTACAAACCATGAAGGAAACTTCAAGAGGATCTAGCCACTAGGTTTTACAAGTGAGAAAACAGGAAAGTGGCAGAATTCTAACTGCAGAGCCTATTTCATTAGTGAGTTTCTTTCACTGGTAAGTTTTTACAAAACTGTACTTGTTGCAAGGGATCACTGCCATTACAATGACATGCATCTTCCTAACGGTGCTGGATTCTTGCTTCCAGATCTTTGTACTGGTGACACAGATAAAGAAAAAAAAAAAAAGCCAAAACAGTGTTTTCTTTGGTCAGTGCAATCAATTCTTCGTGCTGATGGCCTTTTCCGGGAGATCGTTGCCAGTCCTGTGGCTTTAAATAAGCCCGATATTCAGACGCATCCAAAATCGAAGTATCTAATTCTGACTACTAACATTGCATCTGAGTGACCTCTTGAGACACCGTTCAGCTCTTTCACAAAATAACCCAAAGTAGTAAGTACCACATATATGCCTGGACTCCTTAACACTTCGACCTGTCCCTTTCTCATGTCCTCCATCTCTGTGAATGGCTATTCCACCTTTGTAACTGCTCAGATTAAAACTAAAATAAAGGAGTCATCTTGGCTTTCATTTTCCATACCTGGCACCCGTGCAGGCTGGCCGTACCTTTAAAGTATCTTGCCCTTCTGACCTTTCTAACCACCTCATAGCTGTCCCTCACGCCAGCCACCAGTGGGTCGGAGCCACCAGATCCAACGGCTGGGTCTGACACAAAGGTCCTCCCACTTTGATTCCTGGCTCCCTCTCCCTTCTAATGGTTCATTTTCACTGTCCACACAGCAGCAAAAGCATCACTTCACACTCGGAACCAGAGCAGGCCACTAAAGCAATGCTTTTTATCATGGGTCCTTGCACTGCTATCGCCCTTCCTCTCGCTCACCTTGGCCAAGCTATGTTGTCCTTTCAGATGGTCTTGGAATGTCCACCCACACGTGTTCCTACTGCAGCGTCTTGGTCCTTGCTGTTCCCACCCAGGGGTTCCTGTACAGATCTTCTCTTCCAAAGCCCTTCCCTATCTCCTTACCTAAACTAGACGTCCCATCTCTTTTATCCTTTCCCTTCTTTTTCTGTCTTCTTAGAACTTTCCATTCCCTGAAATACTTTTGTTATGTTATTTCTCCTCCTGGCTCCATTAGGGTAAGATCCCCTTGAGCACAGAGACCTGGCGTCTTTTGTTCAGTGCTGCTCTTTGTCCAGTAACTCCGATGGCCTTTGTACATGATAGGCTCCCAGTTCTGATTTCTGGAATGAATGAATGAGTGGATATTTTAGATTTCTGCCAACATTGGACCCAGAGTTGAATTTCTGAGGACAGAAAACAGTGCCTGCTCTGCCTTTGAATGAGAGCCTGGCTCCTTTCCATCCTTTTTTCTCTCTTGGTGATGGAGCCAGGCTTCCTCTGTCTCAGTCACTGCACGATCTGAGACCACAGCTGAATTAAGGAAGAGTGAGTGTCTTTTGGTCCCGTGGCTTGGCTCTGAGTCTCATTTAGCTGTGTTCCACCTTCAATTCTCATATTTCTATTATTAATAGTTTTTTTTGTTGAGATCTACTAAAGTTAGAAAAACAAGAATGACCATGAGCAAACGTCTAAATAATTGATTAGCTACACCTATGGGCAGACTCTGGCATTGTCTGCGTTCACCAACTGCATTCGCTTGCATACAGAAAAATGTTTGGTTTGCAGTTCATAAATAACGAATTAATGGCAAGCAAGACCATGACAACTAAATTAAAAGCAGAAAGAGTTTTAAATCATGTTAAAACATGCTTTGATTAAAGGCAAAAAATTGTTAAAAATGAATCTTGCTGGTTTTGAGCTCTCTGGCTAATCCATAATAAACGCTTTCCTTTTAGCCGTCCCGTTTGCTTGTTTTATGTAAAATATTTGCTGCCACAGGAGGGAAACAGTTTTGTTTAATCTGATGGCTTTCTTTGATCTGGTGGTCTTTTTCTAAACTGTATTACAGAAGTGGGAAATTAAAGTTGAGCTACAACTCCCTCGAGGAGGAAGGGGCTGAGAAACTCATAAAAAATTCACTCCTGGAAGGTCCTGTCCCTGATACTCTGTGCCTTACCCTGGCTGCTTTTGCCATTTCCTCTCCAGAAAGGCCAGGGTTTTTCTCACAGCCTCAGGGGACTTGGCCACTTGCTCACATTTTCTTTCTCCAGAAGGATGATCATCTCTAATCTCAGTCTGTTTCTGTTGGCTTTGAAAGTTACTGTATGTGTGCTTCATTACTGCACTCAAAGGCCACTCTTGAAGAGAAGTTCAAGAGGTAATTTAAGTTTGTGATGGGCCATGCATTTCTGCTTAAGAGAAATTGTTATTTCTCTACCACCTTTCTATTTGTGCAGTAGAATGATTCAGTCTAATTAAAGATGTGAAGGCATTTTTCACCAAGCCACAATGAATAACTGGCCTCACACAAAACATGCCGTGCTATGAAACACCTAATAGAGTGTTGACTCTTTTCTATAGAAAGAAAATCACTTCAATTAAAAATGCATACTTACTTAATGGGCTACATGGCAATAAGTTACTTTTCATTTACCAAAAGGAACTGGCTGTTCAAATGCTTGTCTTAATTCTCCGAGAGCCAAGTGTTCTATATTGTTGATTTAACTTAATTATCAAAATAACTCTGTTGTTCAATTTATACATGAAGAAATTTGGCTGTCCTAAGATTTTGTAATTTAGGAAGAAAAGCCACATGGCTACTAAGTGACTGAGGCTGGATTAGAATTTGGCTTTCATTCTAAATATCTTTTCATTTTTCCCCCTTTTCACTGTGCCATATCTCTTCCGGGTGGTGAATTTTGCATCCATCAGAGAAGGCCCTAGTTGTATTGATTTTTCCCAGCTCATGTGTTTCAGATCACTTTTTCCTCCTGCATTTTCTTTAAGCATGCTCAAAATGCAAGGCAGAGTACCCACAGCTTGAGTAATTTGGAGAACTCTTTGTGTACTCTGAACCTACCCATCTGCCTTTCTGTTATATTTAGACTCACATGCTATAAGAAGTGACCTGATGTCCTGAATACAATTGCAGCAAATGACTGGGACTTAAGCCTTCCTACAGAGAAAGAAAACTTAAACTTGCTTCAGGATGAGGATCCATTCTCTTTCAAGAGAATTTAGTACAAAGAAACCAGAATTTGATTTGTAATTTAACCTTTGCTTGATGCTGGCCTTTTCTCTCTCTCTGGCTTCTATTCAGTAATTCTGGGAATTTAGCCTGCTGGGAAGTCTTTTCTGGGCATTATAGGTCATCATTTTTGCTCCTGTTTGAATGTAGGTGTGAAGACCAGATATATTTAGCCACCTTCACACTTGCTAGCACAGTGTTTGAAATTCCATCTTGGTAAGTTTGAAATGGGAGCTGACAATGTAACCGTCATCCACAACGTGAAAGTCTGATTGCTGGTGACCCAGGTGGGAGGTTTGTCTTTCTTGTAAGGGATGCTGGAACTCCTCCAGGCCCAGGACACCCCCGAAGGTGTTAACAGAGGAACGACTTCTACAAGGAATACTTTGATAAACAACTTCAAAAGGAAGGTAGAGAGAAGAACCCGTGGTGCACAGCCCGCTTTGAGGGCAGTGAAGTTATTCTGCGTGAAATTATCATGGCAAACTCATGACATTAACAGGTTTCCAAACTCGGGGAGCTGTGCAACACAGAGTTCATCCTCATGTAAGCCGTGGCCCTGTGTATAGCAATGCACAGATATTGGACCATCAGGGGAAACAAATGTACCATGCTAGTGCGAGACGCTAATGACAGAACAGTGATGGGGCAGAGGTGGACTTCATTGTTCTATGTTTTATGCCCGATTTTCCCTTAAACCTAGAAGAAGCCTACTTTTAAAGTCCACTTAAACAAAGGAAAGTAAAAGGATCTGTCCTAGTCCTAGTAAAGGTGTGTTTGTTAACAATGGTTGGCCATTCTTCCAAAGCCTCCTTTCTTAAGGGAATGGAGCAAAGGGCAGCACTTTGCTTCGGTGGAGTGGAGTGTTAGGACTGTGGCCAGGGACAGACTGGTCCTTGGCCCTTAAGAAGAGAAGATCTCCTGTCTCTTAACACATGTTAATCAGTGTTGGTTCAAAGGCGCACCAAATGCTATAGGAACGTGCTTTAATCCGGGTGGTTTCTGTGCTCTGAGACTGATCGGGATGTGACTTCTGGCCTGTCATCCTGGCTTTTGACTTGGCTTTCCAAGGGCTCCTCTTTGAGGAACTCCTCTCTGAGCCCTGTGAGCCATCATTTGCTGGCCAAACAGCAGGTGGTTCAAGGGAAGGATATGGAAGCCAGGCTGGGGGCAGGAGAGGTGGAGCCTAAGGACCCTGCTCTGGGGACCCACCTGAGGATCATCCACCTTGAATTTATGTTTGCCATGGCTTTTAAGAAGTAAAATCCTATAAATCATGTCCCATGTATTTTGTCAGTGAAAGAGGGACATAAAGGTTAGCATCGTGACAAATCTTGACTTGAGGATATTTGTCAACAACAATGAAATGTTTAATTCTCTCTTGGAACAATTTAGAGAAACAGCTAGTTCTTTGTTTATTCATCTTCAACAGATTTCCTGTGTAGCTCAAAGTACTTTCATGAATATAAAATTTTCAGTAGATGGCATTAAAGCTGTCCTGTGAAGTTAGCGTGTGCTTGATTAAAAAATTATTATCTAGCTCTATTTCTGTATAAACAAGATAGCAATGTTAAATGGAGAGCTATTTATTTTTACATCATTACAGGAAACAATCTGGATAGAAATTGCTGGATTATTTTTCATTGCCAAAATTTTAAATTTTCCATTTTTCTTGTAATTTTTTGATAGTATCATTAACTCAAAATACAAGAGAAAGAGAGAGAGAGAGAGAGAGAGAGAGAGATGGAGAGAGAGAGAAACCAGAGAGCAGCCAAGCAGATTTAAATATAAAAACATATTTAAAAAGTAAAGTAAAATTTGAAAAAAGCACACCAAATTAAAGAGAGATTGTACAAGAAAATAATATTCAATTGAAAGATAAAGATCTTACCATGGTATAGCTTACCATCTCAATTTTAACTCCTTGTCCAAAATTAAAGGCTAAGACAAAGAAAAACAAAGCCAACGGCCATGGGAACCCTCTTTTACTTTAATTGCTCTTCTCAGTCCTCACAGGAAGCCACCAGAGGGATCTTGAAAGCTCCCTCCTTTGGCTACTGTCCCCAGTACTGCTCTGAAGTCCCCCACCCTTCCTACCTTCCCTCACTTTTTCCTTCTTTTCTGGTGCTAGGGATAGAACCCCTATTCCAGGCAAGTCCTCTGCCCCTGAGTTGCATCCCCAACCTCACCTTTTTAAAAAATTTTGAGACAGAAGGGTTCTGGCTGATTTGCCCAGGCAGGCTGGGACCCTCATTAACGGCCCCAGGGATTTCCGCATCACCAGAGCCAACGCTGTGGTCACATTGTCTCCCTTTACGCAGCACTTGGCCATTTGTTGGTCCCTCTTTTTTACACGTAATTCTCTTGACCTTTAGCATCTCTGTCTCCTGTCACTGGCCTTTCCCTTTTATGCTCCCAGCTCATTCATTCTCAGCCTTATTTTCTACCTTGGGGTTCAGCCACATTTACCCTTCTCTTATTTTCTCTCCCGAAATTCATCTGCTGACCGTAATCTTCCTTTTAGAGGACGGGCCTGTTAAAGTGTTTGGAACTTAATGTGCCTAAAACCGAATTTTGAATTCCCTCTTCTCCTTCAACTTCCTCTTTGAGTAAATGGCAACTCTTTTCTTCCGGTGACTTGAACTGAAATCTTGATCCTCTCACTGAAATAAAAAGACTGGGGAGCTTGTACAAAGCAATACCGTGTTGTTGCATGTGTGTCTTGCCACTAATTCTCTGGCATTGTCAGGAGAGGATTCAGCGCTCTTTCTTGTTTATTTCTGGGTTGAATGGTCTTTCCCGCAGAACCAGAGCACAATGCAGGAATGCGGATGGAATTTAGATGGTTGCTAGGTTACTTGGTACTTTTTATCTCCCCACCCTACTTGCTGTGTACAGAGAAGACTCACAAAAGTGTGGAGTTTTCAGGAGGAAAAGAAACTCTTTGGAGGTTTACTTTATGAAAGATCAAATAGTGAAGATCGTAAATAGAAAAAAAAAAGCTTAATATTTCCCTTTTTCTTCTAGAAAATATATATTTTAAGTATATAAAATAGAATCAAAGTTGAAAAAAATTAAATGCTTTCAGAATCATAGTTTCAAAGCACACAGTCTTGGCTCTATCACTGAACATAGGTCCAGGGCTATGGTAGATTTCATTTAGATAGAACTGCACATGAAAGAAAGGGGCTTTTGTTTTAATTTAATCATTTTTAGATATTGTCATTTACCATTCAAATGAGTTGAAAGAGAATGATTATATTATATCCAGGGTATTTAGGGAAAATTTTATAAGAAATTAGTTTCACGCTGGGATATCCAAGTACACAGTTATGAGACATTTCCTAGGCCAGTCATGATTCAATAGCCTCTTTTCTTATGAATGATTACTCAAATTTGGAACTTTTCCAGGAAGTCCTGATGCATGATTTTCAATGACTCTGCTAGACCAGGCCCCCTTCCTTCTAGATCCTCCTGATATTGTCATGCTGAGGCTCTGGGGCATATTTCTTTGTTATCTTAGATAACCTCCTATTTATCTAAGGCATTCATTACTTATTTTCTTGTGGTAGTATTTCATCATGACATAGAGAAATAAAAAGGAGAAAATAGTTTTGATGAGTTAAACAAAAACTACAGCCATCTATTCATATGCTATATAGAGAGAAACAAGTCATTACCTTAAATAATACAGCCAAAAGATATTTCATAAAATCCAGTTATTTCAGATTGCTGTATTATGTCTAATAATAAAGTCACTAAATTTAACCAGTGAAAGACAAAAATTATACATTTTCACATGAAACAAATAAAACATACAGGCTGAGAAATATTACCTCAACAACATTCCATCTTGAATTTTTCCCAAAATGAGTCCAGGGGTTAATAAATAAGATATAAGCTTAAGTAGATGATCTGCAAACTCATGTCAAGTAGTAGTTCTAGGAGGTCATTTCAAAGGGGAAAATCCTTTTCAAATGGGTAACTATTTTTTACACACTTCATGGATGGGCACAGTTAAAATTAAAAACAAACACAGTGGACACTTGACTTACGAACTCAATTTGTTCCTAAGGGCTGTTGTAACTCAAGTTGGCCAGTGAGGGCTCAGGCTCCTCTCCACAGCCTTCAAAGTCTCTCTCCTGCACCCAGGCAGATCTCAGTGGCCTCAGAGAGACACTGGACCAGGACTTCTCGGTGAACTCCACACAGGAAAGGATGTTGACACACTCCTTCAGAATCCTTTAAGGGTTAAATCAGTATCTGGGACCATCTGCAAGCACAAAGAGCCAGTACTTGGCTTGTAACTCAAGACTTTGCTAGTAAGTTAAAACTAAAATTCCCATTGTAACCCGTTTGTATATCAGGCTGGTCGTAACTGGAGGGTCCACTGTATGAATGGTAAGGTTACAGATACTGGTGTGTGTGTGTATACAGAGGTAAGCGTTTCCTGAGATGGCTTAGAGCAGAGGAATGTAATTCTTCAAGAATTATACCCAGTTTTGTTGCCTACAGTACGGCAGTGTCCCAGAAAGCCCATCTACATAAAAAGAGACCCCAAAGCTACAGAAAAGTACACTGTACACTACAAATAAAAAAGTTTTATGAAGAAGCTCCTCTTCAAATATACCAAAACCCCTACATACACACAATATATAAACATGTACTACAAATGTAAAACTTTCATTTAATAAAAGTGCCAAAGATATTTGCGAAGCCATTGACAAATCATTTTATAACGTTACAAATAGTGCCTATAAAAAGGAAACTATAAAAAATGGTCAAAAGTTGTGCATAAATAATTCACGGAAGATCAAAACATAAAAATCAATAAACATTAGGACAATAGTATTGATTTGTGTCAAGGATGTGGGATTCTAAGCATGTTTTATTTTTTCCCCCCCAGACGCCTGTTTTCAGGGATGAATTTTGTAGAATGAGTATATGGCATGTAAATCATCAGAGGGAAAAAAAACCCAGCTATTTTTATTGTGAAGGAGAAAAATATTTCAGAGAGACAAAATATACACAAAAGTGCAGGGTGGCCAAGATGCAGAAAACGACCACAAAGAACATTGGTAAGCTCACAGCCTGCGCGAGGTCTCTGGTGGTCCCCGGAGATTTGGCCCCATCAGGGGAAGCCCCGCCCTGCTCCCTCGCTCACACTTACATTTTTCATCCCCTGATCACATACGCAGTTCATCTTTCCCCACGGTGTTTCCAAATACTTCCATGAGTAAGATCAAAACGTCTCAATTCAGGATTTCCCTTTGAGCAGTTCCTAAAATACAGTCTCTTCCTAAAATTCTTCCAGCCAGTCCCAATTCGGGCCCTGCGCGTGCCACAAGGAGCAGGGAGAGGTGGGACTCGTATGCGTGTGGCGTGACTCTGCGGAGCTCTTCTCAGCCACGGAATTTGTGAGAGCTCTTGCTTCTGCCTGGGAATTGAGCGCAGGGAGTGCTGGGTGTTGGGGAGTGACCGGGGACATCTGGGAGACTGTTTTCTAAGTTTATAATTTGACTTTTCAGCCTGGCGTGGTGGCGCATGCCTGTAATCCCAGCACTTGGGAGGCTGAGGCAGGAGGATCGCTGTGAGTTAGAGATCACCCTGGGCTACATAGTGAGTTGCAGGTCAGTCTCAACTACACAGGGAGAACCTGTCTCAAAAAAAACACATAATTTGATCTTTCACATTCTTGACTGATAGCTGCTAAATTGAGTTTAATCAACTCACTTGAATTTCGTATGTTTTTAAACAGTCATCGTGCCATTAGCATTGCTTTAAGTGTGAAAAGGGCTTTATGAGTAGTGTGGGCCGAAGCCCTAACACTCGCAGGATTTATGTGGAGGCAAGAATTGCATACACATGACAAGCGAAGTCACTGTGAATTAGTCCATTACATTTTACATACCAAGAGCTGTGGGAGCTATCATTTTATGACTTGATTCTGCAAATCAGGTTCCCCAAGGGGGGTTCATTTTCCTCTTATTTCTTGTATTTGGAATATGATGTTACCGGAGGACAAAGTTACTGCCTGACTAAAAGGACAAATAATCTTAAAATTCCTATCTGGGCCACTGTCCTTAAGCTCTTTTTCTGTTTTTTTTGTTTTTTTTTCTCTAGTTCTTAATTGGAGTGTACATGGAAAAATATTTCTCACTATCAAATATCGTATACACACTGTGTGAGAGCTCTTTGTTAGTTACTTTTCTCTCATTGTTGAGACAAAATACTCAACACCCCAAGTTAAAGGGGAAAGGATTTATTTAGCTTATACTTTGTAGAGATTTCAGTCCCTAATTGGCTGGCTCCAAGGCAGGGTTGCACATGGTAGAAGGACAATAGTTCATGGTGGCCAAAGACGGCAGAGCAACAAGGGATCTTAACAGCATCTTTCTGCCCCTTTTAACTTACCCAGACTACTCAGGGAGGGCAGCACTCACACCCTTAATCGTGGTGCCCTCAGTCCTAGCACTGCAGCATGAATCAGTCAAACACTCTAGACGCAGCCACTTTTGAAAAAGCCCCACCTAAGATCACATGAGGTTTGGGGGGACATCTAGACACAGGCCATAATAAACCTCTTCATAAAGTCTTACTCTTTTAAGTTTGGAGCCAATTTGGAAAGTAAATACTTTTAAGATATGATTAGATAGCTACCTTTCACATTTCTTAGTTATGCCATACTCATTTATTTTCTTTTTTCCCTTTCTGTTACCAATCTTGAAATGAAGAATGCAGTTATCATTCTGGTCCATTAATTGTCTTTGAGACAGATACTTTTCAACCAGTCGACCCTCAGTTCCAACTCAGATTTCCCTGCATTAAATGCTAAAACCTATAGGTTTCCCTTAAACTCCCAGTAGATTTTCTTGGTCCTTCTAAAGGGCCCTGTACATTTATAGAACATATCTGGGTCTCTTTCTTCATTACTGGTACTTATTTTAGACAATCTAAGGTTTCTAGTTCCAATTAATCTATAATTATCTCTGCAACTT